ATTATGCACTTCAGTAAATCGCGAGACTGAAATGGTCGGGCCGAAGGCCCGACCATCGCCGCCGGCAGGCCAAGCAGGCCCGGCCCCTGCCGAACGGAGTTGCCGGCGCAGCGAAGTGGAGCTGGCAACTCCGTTTGGCGGAAGGGCGGGCCTGCTTGTTTTACACCTTGAAATGATCAGAAATCATAAATGTGCCTCTTGAAAAATATGGCCACTATTAATGTTCTATGTTGCGGAATTAAGTGTAGCAGAGAGAGTAGCGAGTTTTCCTCTGAGGGCCGTTACAAACCTTAAAAATAAACTCCTATTCCTTTCATTTTTGCAAGAATTGGTCCGTATTACCTTGATGCGCCTTGATGCGTAGTCACACCGTCGTTTAACTTTATAATTGTGGTTTGGGGATGCCAATTGACAATATCCAACAGCCAAAACTCAGCTCGAAGATGAAACAAAGAACTTTGAAAAAAAAATGAACGTTTTGGACTATTACCTGAAAATGCACGTATTTTAATGATCACCCATGAAAACGCATTTGAATGAGGCGCAATCCACGCAGGACGCCTGGAAACATCGAAAAATTGCACTTCTGAGGGACATTTGACCATTTCCGGGCCCCTGGAAGGTATGTAACCTACCCCAAAGGATTTCAAGGGGAAAGGGTTGTTTTTTTGTTTAGTAAGGCTTACTAAACCCAGCGAATTTAATACCGGAAACATAGAAAAACTGTTTTCTAGCAGGTTATACAGATAAGCGCGGATCTTGCAGACTTCCGCAGAAGCCGTGCGGAACTTACGCACGCATGCGGAACTTTGCTTGTTTGGCACGGAAATGGGTGAACACACATAGTTTTGGAAAGAGGACATAACCGTTTTCATTTTTACGTTGAAACACCGGGATTTTGAAGCCAAATAAGTTCCGCATGCGTGCGTAAGTTCCGCACGGCTTCTGCGAAAGTCCGCAAGTTCCGCGCTTAACTGTATAACCTGTGGGACGTGGTCTCAGGCGCGGATCCAGCGAAAGGTTATAGGGGGGGCATTTTCCTGGTGTGTCGTGTTAGTTGCCTAACTCACAGGGGGAAGTACATAAACATTTGCCAAATTTGAAAGAACAAACCCCCGTTTTCCATAATGGTGAAGGATACTTGTGCTTCTGATGATCCAAAGTCAGTTTAAGAAGCTGTCGCAAGCGAAGCGAGCGAAAAAAATTTGGAAACTATGTTTCAAAATTGGGACCACGAGCTAAGTGAAAAGGGAAATCCTAGAAGTCATCGCGAGCGAAGCGAGCGAAAAAATATCTGAAAAATACGAATTAAAATTGTGACCAAATCTAAGTAAAGTTTGACAAGAAGTCACCATTACCGCAAGCAAAACAAGCTCAGAAAAAATCTGAAGAGTACCAACTATCTTGTGACCAACGGAGGATAAAAAAAAGAAGAATCTGCCTACTCAAAAGCTTTCAAAAATAAAAAAATATTTATGCTTATCTAGTGGTGTACAAAACTGAACGAAATTTTTCAATTCAGAATCAAAGCACAAAATACTTCAGTTGTTTAAATGTTTCCTTGCT